GCTTCACCAGGAGTAGACGAGGTGGGCGCCGCGGAATCAGGAGAGACCGAGCTGAGGACGTTGTGAGCAGCGAGCTGGGCAGTGCGAAGGTTGCACCATTCGCTGAAGGGGACCTTGGTGCTGTCGGCGAGCTTACGAAGGTCATCATCTCCCAAAGTGTGTAGCTTACCAAGAACTTCACGGGCATCTTCGGGTGCAGGACCTGGTCTAGGAACGCCAGGAGCGCCTCCATGTACACCACCAGGTAGGTCATCTGCACCAGCGGACGGGGCCCGCGCAGCGGCCTGAGCAGCTGCAGCAGCCTCCATCTTCTGCTTCTTGAAAGCAGCTTCATCGAACCTGTCCTTCTTCTCCTTGGCGACGGTGTGGGCGGACTGGGCGACCTCGAGGTGTGCTGAGGCTTCGGCGAAGGCAGCCTCAGCCAACTTGACCTTCTCACGGGCCTTGAGCAAGGCCTCCTGACGTTCAGAGCGACTTTGCCAGGCCAGACGCTCAGCCTTGGCAGCCTCCTCCACGCCCTTCGCCAAGGCGGTCCGTTCTCCAGCCACCGCTGCGTCCAGCTGCGCATCGGACGGGACGTTTGGCGGTGGTGGAGGCGGTAGATGGTTCGCAAGCACGTCTCGTAAGCCAGGAAACTGGGCGACTGCAGCACTTGCTTGACCTGACAAGTCGAGAGGTTGTGAGTCGACCGCCGCACTCGACTCACCCGTAGTCTTATTGCGCATGACATATGATCCACTGCAACGGCTGCACGCAGTGTGACCATGAAAGAGGTACTCCCAGTGCCCGCACTTGCTGCAGACGGCGTAGGGGGAAGCCTCACCGTCACGGCGACGCTTGTGGACACGGCGACCAGCATCACGGCGCTGCTGATCACCTTTAGCACGCCAGGGAGGGGTACGCTCCGCTGAAGTCCACGTCCACGGCATGGCATGCACGCTCCGACAGGAGCTCACAGACTGAAAGGGTACCGAGATGGGCCGCCAGAAGCCCCTGCGGTACTGGCAAAAGAAGACGTCGAGCGCAAGCGCTCTGGCACTGCCGCGGACTAGCGGTATCCACTTGTTCCACTGTGGAACACAAAGCCTTGAGCCAAAATGGCTACGGGGGGGAGAAGGAGGGGGAGGAGGAGGAGGGAAGGAGGAGGGAAGAGGGGCGATGGAGGACGGGAGAGTGACGAGGGGGGAGGGACAAGCGAGGCGCGCGCCCGCGCCGAAGCTGAAATCTCACCCACCCCGCCCATCCCTTCCCATCGCGTTGTTTTCTTTGTACCCGTCGACGCGTGTCGTGGCGGACCTGGAACTCTAAAAAGGATCCCGTCGTATTATACGCAACCGGCAACAAGGGGACCTATGCTCGTTGGAGGATGGGGAGATGGCGCATGAAAAAATGAAAGGAGGGGAGAAGGAGGAGAAGCAGAGTAAACTGAAGAATCATCAGCGATGTTGCAACACACCCTGTCTCCCCAAGTCCCCTCCTCGAGGGCCCCACTTTGAAAGTGAACTGCCTTGCATTCTTTTGGCGCGCAATCAGGAACGCAGAAAGAACAATGATCATGCAGCTCAACAAGTTGCCCAGCAAGGTCCATTTTTCGAAAAAAGGCCGCCCCCCCCCCAGGGCTCTCGGGACCCCGCCGACTGCACGGGGCCACTCCACGCTCACGCTGGACTCAAGCTCGGCTATCACCGTCTGATCAGGACACCGATGACCTCGTCAAAAGCGCACGGGCGCCCTCCCCCTGCCCGACACTGCATGGATAACCACGCCCAATCTGCAGAAGGACTTCGTTCACTACGGGGTCTCATCGGCCGCTCAGGCCTTGTTAGTCCAGGGAAGAGCCCACCCCCACCCCCCATGAGAAGAGCAGCTTCCGCGAGCGCCGCGCATGCCCCCCGAACAAGTCCGTTCTGCCCAAGTAGGCTCTAGTTCCAACCTGGGGCAAATGGGGGCTAATGCAATTGACCCGCTTGTCAGATCCATCTCACGCAGTCACGTAAGTCCGCCTGTCTTCCCCACTGGGACGCTTCTGGCAATTCTCTTCGCACCCACGTGCCGCATGCAATATGACTGATTATTCTGCGCACGCTGCGCGCGAACCATGGCACGCACCGGACGTTGCATAGAAAGAGAAAAAAAACAGAGAGAGAGAGAGAAAGAGAAAAAAAAGAGGGGCATTGGGAGACCCTGCAAAATCCGCAGGACATTGCGGTTCAAGGCTCAACGTTGTGAAGGGTATTAACGCCCCCGAGAATCAGCGACTAGCTTTGGGCCCTTCTGTAGCGATCGGCTCGATTGCTTGAGGCGCTCGCCCACGGTCCTTCGTCGCAACGATCCTCACGGGAGTCGCCCGACGCCGCGAGCCTCTTCTTGCCGCCCCCGCGCTTTGTTACTCTGTTTCCACTCAGACATGGCTGGCGACAAGAAAGAGAGGCGCTATGGTAATGTCAAGAAGTCTGGCAAGAGCGAGGGCGCACCTCGACGTCGGCGTCGTGCATGCACTGCATCGGGCGCGGAGTCCATCAACACCAGTCCGCCTCAGACGCCGCGCACCCCATTCCATGGCCAGTCTGATCGTCGCGCTGCTCGTCGGGTTCGCGCTGATGGCATGACATGGCAGGCAGCAGCCTGGAGCGCGCCGATCGGACGCGCGCAGCAGCGGCGGCGTAGGTAGGTGCAGATGATCGTTCCAGGAGCTCGCACGGAGGACCAGTGGTTGGCACCCCCGAGCCCCAGGCAGCACCACCTCTTCTTCATGGAGTACGTCAGAGAGCCCTAACTACATGTGCTGCAATGCAATATGTCTCTTTGCCACCAACCCCTCCTGCTGGTGGCGCGGGGCAGGTGCCTCAGGTGCTGGCCCATAGAAGCGGCCAGCGGACGCGCAAATCGAGCGCGAGATCCAGGCTGAGGAATTTCGAAATTTCAAGCAGGTGTGCATCGGAGAGCTCACGAAGAGAGTGGCCGCGTCGATTGAAGCTGCGCTACCGCAGTCGATCGCCAGCAGTGCCGAGCCCCTGCTCAGAGGGATTTAGACGAGGATGGCCGCCCGTTTCGATTCGATCATGTCTCAGCTGCCCGCAACGGAGGAGAAGGTCAATCGCCTGGAAAGCAGCCAGACGGGCCTGGCTGCGAGATCGGAGCGTCTGGAGAAGGTCTTCGACTTGGCTCGGGCAGAGCCGCGCGTTCCAGTGGCGAGGTCGGCAGAGTGGGATCGTCCCAAGGACCACAGCATTTTCACGATCAGTGCGAAGGAAGCTACTTCGGTCTCAGCGTTGGCTGTCTCTATCCAGTTTTGGCTCGAGGCCTGCGACTTCGAGCTCGGGCGTAAGTGCAGGCTGAAGGGCCCCCAGCTGTCGAGGAACTTCGTGCTGCGCTTCGGCATCGGGGAGGGAGAGACCCGCCTCACAGCCGAGGCGCGCGTGCGCCACGCGCACGCCATGCTTCGTGACGGCCCAAGCAGCTGGAGGCGGTTTCGGACTTCTCTGCCTGGCGAACGCACGGTGGGGATCTTCGTGGGTTTGGACAAGGACAAGCAGGCCATCGCGAGGGAGCGGGCGTGCAAGCAGCTCAAGACCGCCATCGCGAGCAACTTGGCCAGGGACGTGTTCGTGGACAGGGAGGCGGGGACGCCCTTCGCGCAATGGCAGCCCATCGCGAAGGTGGAGGTGCACCCCAGCGACCCTCCGCGTGTGCGCTGGAACTTGGCGAGCTTGGCGGACATTGGCCTGGATCGTGCTCAATTGGCGTCCGTTGCCGATCGCGTTTTCTCCAGAGTGCTGGTCCAGTGGAGTGCGTAACACATTGCTTGGATCTTCTTCGGTGACATTTGCGACGTGGAACTGCCGTGCTCTCTGCCACTACCGTGCGGACGGGTGTGCACGTCGGCTCCAGGTACTGAGCGATCTCGTTGCCTCTCCCTCCTCTGCTTCCTCAACTGCGCTCGCCCCTCAGGAGACTCATGGCGGCGTCCCAGCTGTGCAGGAGGCGGCCCAGCGGACTGACCTATCGCACCAAATGCTTGCCTCCTGCGAGGAGGGCTCGCATGCTGGGGGGAGTCGCCACCCTCGTCCCCCCCTCATCTCAGGCTGCTCCTCTCTCGGTGTTCGAGCTTCAGGATGCGGGTGTCTGTGGCCGTGTGCTCGTTCTGGAGATCACGAACTTATCTTCAGGTTTCAGCCTCTGGCACTGGACTGTCCGCAACTTTGGTTTAAGTCTCGACGCTATCCGAGGGATTAGGTACCACATCAAGGCTCAGATCAAGGTGGTGCGTAGCGCTCTTCTTGAATTCGGTTTTCTCCTGCAGGGTGACTCGAAGACCTGTGATGGTGATCGGGAATCTGGATCCTCCAGATACTCGGTCCGTGGCGGGCGCTCAGGAGATGGAGCCTGGCGCTCGATCTTTAGGAGGAGGAGGGGGAGGAGGAGGAGGAGGAGGAGGAGGAGGAGGAGGAGGAGGAGGAGGAGTGAGGTCGCCAGTGGTGAGCCGTGGAGGCATCCCAACTGAGGAACAGGAGAACGGAGGAAAACTCGCCCGCGCTGGGATGAAGAAAACGTCGTTGTGTGTCGCGCCGCATGCCCGATGCGTCGGCGATGCGGTGTGATCCTCGGGCCCCGTCTGCTTTGGTTCCCGTGAAGGGTGGGCCGGCAGGGCCCGGGCAAGTGCGAGAGCGAAGGAGAAAAAGGAGGATGAAGACGAGAAGCGGCAGCACGGGAAGGCGGACTGGAGGAGGGGGGGGAGGCCTGGGAGGGTGGGGAGAGAGGGGGGGCGAGGGGAAGGGCAAGGAAGCAGGAAGAAGAAGAAGAAGAAAAAGAAGAATAAGAAGAAGAAGAAGAAACAAAAAAAAAAAAGCAGAGGAAGAAGAGAAAGAGGAAAAGGAAGAGGAGCCAGGAGCGCCAGGAAGCAGCAGCAGCAGCAGTAGCAGCAGGAGCGCCAGGCAGCCAGGAGCAGTGCAGCAGGAGCGCAGCGCCAGGAAGCCGAGGTCCCCAGGAGATGGGTTCGCCTGGCCGCCGCCGCCGGAAGACCCGGCCCGCGCCGTACAGCCGCGCACTGCGCAGGCCGTCGGCGAGGCTGAGGCTCTCCACCAGCGAAGGGCCTCGCGCCGCGGTTCCTGCCCCATCCTCCACCGTCTCCTCTGCCTCCTCCGCCTACTACTCCATCTTGTTCCCCCTGCTCCTTTTTCCTCCTCCTCCTTCTCCTCCTCCTCCTCCTCCTCCTCCTCCTCCTCCTCCTCCTCCTCCTCCTCCCCCCTCTTCTCCCCCTCCTCCCCCTTCTCCTCCTCCTCCTCCTCCTCCTCCTCCTCCTCCTCCTCATCATCATCATCATCATCATCAGCAGCAGCAGCAGCATCAGCATCGCCATAATCATCATCACCATCATCACCCTCATCATCGTCATCGTCATCACCATCGTCATCGTCATCATCGTCATCATCATCATCATCATCATCATCATCAGAAGCAGGCATTTGTTTGTCGGGATAGAAGGGCCCACGGGCCAAACACCCCTGGTCAAAACATGATATGTCTCGGCCTGGTTCGCCTGCGAAGGCAGCCAGGTTCCAGCCCATCGTTCAAGCTTGCGTCCAGCTGCGACTAACAAGGGCGCCCCGAAAGGGGGAAAAAAGCAATCGTTCGCCACGATACCGACGACGACGGGCGACCCCCTGCTTATTCTCATCGACCGGGCACAAGCGCTGGGGCCGAGCGCGAAGAAGCAGTAACAGCTGGAGGAAGGGAGGGAGAGGAAGGGCGACGGGGAGGTGCGAAAACGGACCCGCGACCTCCCGAAATCTGGACAAAGATACCGTCAGAAACAGACAAGCGCCAAGAACGAGGGGGAAAGAGCACCCCCCTCCTACGATCCCCAAACCGGGGGCTCCCAAGTCAAGCTCACCCTGGGACCCCACCCACGAAAGGAGAGGAGGGAAAAACACCCGGGACCCAAAAACGACAACGGGCGCGATATCTCGGGAGAAAGGCAAAACAACGGAAGACGCCCAGCCCGAAGGCGGGGCGGCCACGCCCGAGGGCGAGCTTAGAAGCTCAGCAGGAACATTACGAGGTAGACAGCGAAGAACAACTTGAAGGAGAGGATGCAATCATTCCGCGGGAGTTGACCCAGGCGGAGAGGAACCACGTCAGGGAGCACACGAAGGAGTAGCACAGGAAGAAGACGCTGTTAAAAGGGCGGCGTCAGTGGCCCAAAGACAACGATCATTGCAAAGCGAATCCAGCCGCAAACGGAAGAGCGACGAGAGAAGCGAAAGAATGAGACGACAGAGAGGCCCAACAGGAAACATGCGACACCAAGAGAAGAAGTCCCAGGACAAAACCAAGGAGCCCGAGATGCACAGAACAAGCCGCGATTAAGGAGGAGGGGGAGGAGGAGGGAGGAGGAGGAAAAAGGGGAAAAAAGGGGGAGAAAGATTAAGGAGGAGGAATCCTCCCTCCTCCTTAATCCTCCTCCTCCTTAATCCTTCCCCTCCTGAGTTATAATTCCGACGCTTGCTCCAGACCCCGCGGGCGGCACCTCCTCGAGAGCGGGCGCGGGAGTACATGGCGCAGGCCGCCGGGGACTCGATCCTGAGTCGGACGCGTGCAAGCCACGTGTCCGCCGAGTCCATGACCACCGAAATTCATCGATGATAAAGGGTTGTAAACAGCACGGCAAAAGATAACGCCAAGTGCTGCGGCACCAGGGTGCCCGCACAAGCTCACACTCCACAACACCCTCGGCCCAGGCGCTGACCCCAAAAGAAAGCTACAGTGCCGCGAAGACATCAGGCGTCGCTACGGGCACAGCGCGGCACGAACATCGCGGCGTGTCACAGCAGACTGAGTCGCCATAGCGTCGGATTTCCCTGACGCAATCATATCAGCGCCAGGTTCCCCCGTCGCCACGGAGACAGACCTCGGCGAGCGCTGAACGCTAGGTTCCCCCAACGCAATGGAGAAAGACCCCGGCAGGCGCTCAGCGTCAGGTCTCCCCGACGCGAGGGGAAGCGATTTGACGGAGTGCGTAGCGCCAGGTTCTCTGTCGCGAAATTATGCAAATTCGAAGGTTGCTTAACGTCACGGCGCCACGGCTGACCCAGGAAAAAACACTGATTGTTCTCCTCCTCCTCCTCCTCCTGCTGCTTATCCGTCCATCTTCCTTATTACTAACTCCCCCTCTGTCGCACCACCAGACGAGTCCCTGGGCGCGGCTGGACGTTTCGCTTGAGATTTCCTAGCAACTTACGATCCTGAAGCTGAAGAAGCGCAAACAGTCACAGGGATGAAGGGCTGGTAATCTAAAAACTGAAACTCTCGCCTTATCGCCGCGCGCATTCGTCTTGAAAGCACGCAACAATTACAAAGATAGAGTGTCGGTCGTGCTCAACATTGTGCTATCGCCTAGCACCGCGCACATTCATCCCACAAGCATGCAAGACTTACAAAAATGAAGCGTCGAGCGTTGTCAACATTGGGCTCTCGCTTAGCATCGCGCACATTCGTCTTGAAGGAGGCACACACGGCGCAAGCGCGAGCAATTGAGAATGACGATGACGAGGCGGAGGAGACGGAGGAGGAGGCAGTGAATGTGAATGCTGGAGGTAGGGGTGAAGATGCTGTCCCCGCTCCCTCCATTGTCTACGTCTCAGTGTCTCTCTAGTTCCCTCTCTCTCGCGATGTATATATATATATATATATTACAATGTGTGTATCCCTGTATCTCTCTCAGTACATACATACATGCATATACGCGTCGATATGTAATATATATATATATATATATATATATATATATATATATATATATATATATGCATATATGTATCCCCGTCTCTATCTCTCTCTCTCTCTCTCTCTCGTTTTCTCTCTCTCTCTCTCTCTCTCTCTCTCTCTCTCTCTCTCCCTATCTCTATAGTTGTGTTGCGCCATCTCTCTCGCTCGCTCTCTGTTTCCAGACATGTCCATACATGTCTAGATATTGCGATCCCTCGTTCTATATCTATATATATACATATCCATGTATCCATATATCGTTCGGTCTCGCTCTCTATGTGTATATATATATATATATCACTATATCTCTCACGCTCTCGATCTCGCCCCGTCCGTATGCTTATATGTATATGTGTATAAGTATATGTGTGTATGTGTATATGTAGTGGCACGTGTGAACAGGTGAATATTTAAATACAGCGCAATATGGATGTGTGGGGTGCATGTGTGTATGCATGTCTTTTGTACCTCGCTTTCTCTATCTCGCGTTCTCTATCTTTCTCTCTCGTTATATCTTCCCCCCGTTCTCTCTCTCTCTCTCTCTCTCTCTCTCTCTCTCTCTCTCTCTCTCTCTCTCTCTCTCTCTCTCTCTCTCTCTCTCTCTCTCTCTCTCTCTCTCTGCATATATGCGTTGTGTCTGCCCCTCTCGTTCGCCAGTCACCCGTCCCTCCCTCCCCCTCCACCCCCCTTCTCAGAAAGGAGAAGCAGAAGAGGGTGATAGGTAATGAGGGGTATCAGGGGGAGCAGGAGGATGCGGGGGGTGTACGGTGACGTCGCTGTCCCCCTGTCTAAACGATGGTGGAATGCCAAAACAAAGGAGGACGAAGACGAGGCGGGCGTAGAGGCGGCGGTGCGAACGCTGTCCTGCACATAGCAGAAGAAGGAAGCGTTTGAAATATGCTAACGGAAAGGACTGATGTGAAGGTGGGGCGAAGAATTGGGAGAAATGGAGGTGCAGCCGGTTAAAGCACCTTACAATCACCGCCATTGCATCATCACCACCGCAGTTAGCGTCATTGTCGTCGTCACGGCTGTCATCGCCGCTACATCATCGTCGTTATCCCCATCACGTCCATGGAATCATGAGCATCAGCCTCAGCATCGCCCCCACCATCATTGTCGTCGTTCATCGCCGTCAGCATCGACAGCAGTAGCGGGCTCGGCAGCATAATCCTACGTATTCATTATTCGTCATCATCACCACCACGACCCTCCTCATTATCACTCACGTGCGCCTCTTCTCCTGATCGTCATCATCGTGATCCTAATCAACGGGGGGAGAGAGGGAGAAAGAGCAGATCGGGAAAAGGCTAAGGGCGAGGCCGAGGCAGCCCTTCTGCTTGGATATGCAGCACCATGCCTGGGCGCCCCACCTCCCCCACCGTCCCCCTCCTCCCTCCCTGTTCCGCCCTCCTCGCCCCTCCCCCCCCCCCCCCCCCCCCCCCAACCCCACCTTCCTCCCCGCCGCCTCCCTCCAAATTCTCCAACTCCTTCCTCTCCTCCTCCGCATCCTCCTCCTCCTCCTCCTCCTCCTCCTCCTCCTCCTCGTCCTTCTCCACCTCATCCTCCTCCTCCTCCATCCTGACTTCTCCTCCTCCCCCCCTTCCTAACTCCCCTCCTCCCTCCTCCTCCTCCTCCTCGTCTCGTCCTCCTCCTCCTCCTCCTCCTCTCCTCCTCCCTCCACCTCCCTTGTCTTCTCATATGGATGCCCCTTCTCTCTCTTCTCGCTCCTCCCCTCCTCCTCCTCCTCCTCCTCCTCCTCCTCCTCCTCCTCCTCCTCCTCCTCCTCCTCCCTCCTCGACACTGCCCTGCGCGACGATGGGTCTCGCCGCACACCTTTGAGCTGGATGGGTGGCGCTTCCCCTTTGATGCGGGGCCATTACCACTTGCGCCACCACCCGCTCACGTTCACTCCTAGAGTGAACACACAGGGAAAGAAAAAGCCAAATGAGTTAGGCGATATGGAGAGAATCAATCTCACCCGCACGGACCTGATCGCCAGTCTTGAACGGCTGGCGGAGCAGGTGCCACTTCTTATTGAGACTGTACCGTGCAGGCGCGCGCGCGAGGTTCGCCAACACGCGCGTACCGTGGGAGGAAGCTGCAGGGGGTCCATTGCACTGCTCAGACAGCTTGGCAGAGACTTTGCGACCTCCGAGCCCACAGACCGCACACACAACGCACCAGGTGCCCTCCTGAAGCTGAAAGGGATGCACGAGATGCCTGCGCCCATCTGCTGCAACAACACGCGCGTGCGCAGCATCAGCACGCAGGAGGGGGCGAGGGGCAGCGACTGTCGGGGGCGGTTCAACCACGAGCATGGGCTGACAGGAAGACTGGCAAGACCGCTGCTGTTCAGGCTTAACATGCTCACAATCAAAATCGGCGAAACTCGCCCCTACTTTTGGGCCACCCATCTGGCGTAGCGAGCCAACACCTTGGCCTTGGCAGCGACCTGCTCACGCAAACTCTGATCAATCTGAACGCGCGAAGCAGACCACTGGGCCCACGAGTCGGCCTCGTCATTACCAGCCTTTTCAAACGCACTGCTGAGACCGAGCTGCACACGCGCACGCGTGCAGTGTCCCTTCACCTTGACGGGGCGAATCTGAGAGGGACCACCCCAGTCATGAATCTTCGTCCACACCGCGCGCCACAGCTCGGACCAGGCACCGCGGGAGCCGCAACAATGTCGCTCTCCACGCTTGTGCACACCGCCATGCACGAAGATCCTGGTGACGCGTGCTGCAGCCCACGATAAAACGCAAAAAGCTCAGCATAGCCGATGTCCTGACACAACTCGTGCAACGTGCCACACACAGCAGAGAGCACACGAAATGCGTCGGGACACAAAGCGACGGCGGCCCACCCCACCGCCTGCGCGCGGGGGGGGGAGCTTCTGGTCGATCCACGACCCGTCGAGGAACACATGTCCTGATAGGGCCTCGGGCCCTCCTGCGAACCACCTATCTGGGACGGGGCGAGTGGCGGGGGGGGGAGCAAGCGGCAGCAGCAGCCTCTCAGCAAAGAGGAGGAGGAGAGGCCCAGTGGCAGCTCGCACGAGGGTGGTGAGAAAGGACGGAATACAAACTCCTTCCATGACCTCCTCATGCAAGCCGCACGCGGCATGCCTGTGCAGCAGGGTTCCTGGGGCTGACCCGCAACCTAGACAGAAGGCGTTGGTCGAGAGCCCAGCCTCCCATTGACGATGCTGCGGCCACTGGCCTCCTGAAATTACACTCTTTAGATACCCGCGCTCGACAGGCAAGAGGGGACGAAGGCTTTTGAGCAGAGTAAGGTCGCAACCATTTTGCAGCTCAGGCACATCCAATCTATTGGCGACCTTACCCCAAAGCCAAAAATCGACCACCCTCTGGAGCCGGAGTACAAAAGTCCTGGGGCCGACGTCCCTGGCCGAGATGCGCCCCAAGACCGAGTGAGCAAAAACAAAACCGTCGACCTGGAGCCCCAGACGGATGGCAGTGGCCGCGCAGGCCGTGAAAGGACCCTTGATGCCAGCCCAGGGGTTCCCGCGGTCGGAGAAGCGATGGACAGCATCCTTTATCCCTTGCTCGAGCATGCGCACGGGGAGCAATCCATCCCAGACGGCCACCGCAAACATTTGCAGGGGCTCAATATTTAATGCGTACGCAGGGTCGCATCGGGGTGCTTCAGACATCATAAGAAGCAACGTGAGACTGCGACCCGATAGTTTGGCGACCTGCACATGTGCCTGCATAGCTCTGGCGAGACGCAACTCCGTGCAAATCGTGCCGTACACAGCGCCCCCATACTTACAGGAGGCCAGGGGGGGCAGCTTGCACCACATTGCGCAGCCAGCGCGTTTTAACATGTGGTCCGAGCGAGACGATCTTGCGGGCCCGAGCGTGTGCTGGCGCCCTGCGAGCGGCTCGCGCGGCGCGAAAGCGGCAGACTGCAGCGGCAAAATCGATACCTAGGTTGCGCTCTGTTTGAGCGCCCTGAGCATTAAACCTACGGGGCCTGCGGACGAGCTGAGCCCCGATATGAGCTGACGACGCAACGACCCGACTCTTACGACGGTGCACGACCAAGTGAACCTTCTCAAGCTCAGCATGCAGCATGGTGGTGGCCCCTGTTAGGTCTTCCACCACGTCCTGCGCGCGCCCTACTCTATGGGCTCCAAAATCGTCTACCACGACCCCCAGACTGATGCGCTGATAGGCCGCCACCACCTTGTCAGCGGGGCCGAGGAGGATGAGTTGCAGCATCAAAGTGGCGAAGCGACGGCCAGGCAAAACAGCCTGGCGGGCCTGTAGAGGCCGAGAAACCACGTCCCCCAGCGACATGATCCGCGGGGCCCTGTACAGCTCGACTAGGAGCTTCAGCTGGCGGAGCGGAAACCCTGACCTACTCGCGGCGAGCACCAGCTCGCTATGACGAACGCATTCAAAGGCCTTCTGCAGATCTAGCAAGAGAAGCCCACTAGAGAAGCCTCGCGAGGCCGCCCACTCTGAGCTGGCGGCCTGGACCCAAATGAGCTTGTCACTGCTGCGTCCAGACGTGGACCAAAAATACGGGCGATGATTGCGAGCTTGCCATTGCTTGATCAGCGGGCGCCGCGGCCGCCCCTGAATACGAGCCAGAATGTGAATGAGCGCAATGGGCCGAAATCCACCCTCTCGCTTGCTGAGAAAAACCACTCTGGTCCAGAGACGCGGCCAGGAGCAGGAAGACTCGACCTCTCCTAAAAGATCGATCAAGGCCATCAAGGCCCCGTCGGAGAGGTGCAAAAGCTGCCGAGGGGAAACCGCATCAAAACCGCATCCTGACCTCTTGGGGAACGCGCGAATGCACGCTCTAAACTCATCGAGACTAGGTGGCGAAAGTACGGGGCCAAGGTCCGCAGGCCAGGCGATGGAATCCGACAGAACCCCCACCTTCCACCACCCAGCCCACTCAGCCTCAAGCAAATCCATCTCCTCGGCCATAGTCGCGGGACGCGAGGCACCCTGCACCTGCACCAAGGAACTGGGAACCTAAGGCTGGGCAGGCCTGGTGCATGAGAAAAGGGCGGCTCCACCGTCACGGCTGTGAGTGGAGTACCATTCTCTCCAACCACGGAGCTTATCAGTTTCAGCTTGCTTCAAGACCTTGCTGGCTTGGAGGGCGGCAGCCTTCGAAGCCAGCTCAGCGAGTTCATACGGAATTTCGCGCGCCAGAGACAACAGCGTGAGCCAGGGCTCCGCCCCTGACAGAGGGACCTTGCTGACCTGGGACATGGGCCCGAGGCGCCTCGCGAGGCGCAAAGAGCAAGCACGTAGGGGGACGGGCTGAGCAGACCCCAATCCAGAGAGGCACCTGGCCAGAAGACGCCACCACGTGGCCGCAGGCGAGATCCTGGGAAAGCGCACAGGCAGCGGCTTCGGTGGTGCCTTCACAAAAAACTGGGGGCCCTCAGCACGGCCGAAGTACTCGGAGTCGACGTGCGGCAGCAGGTCGTGGGCGTCCGCATGGTCGGCCTCGGCGGTCTGGACCCACAGCTGCCAGCGCATGCCCACGTCCAGGCCAGCATGCTGAACGGTGTCTCGATACTGCTCCCAACGCGGTGCAGGATCAGCGCGAACGCAGCCCACAGGTAAATCGAGAGGAAACCGACGTGGTACTCGAACAGCTGCATGACAGAGATCACACCTTGCTTGCGTTGGAATGGTGAGCCACACAGGATAATGTGGCGTAGTTGCAGCATCGGTCAAGACCTCAGGGCAACAACCATGTGCAATGGAGCCGGCCACCACGAAGAAATCAATTACCCTGGCCTTAGAATCAGAGGAATTCGTACATGTGGGCACCGCTGGAGCCAAGATGGTAGCGTCGAGTGCGGCGGGCCATCCTGATGCTTCCAACTCGTGCGGATCCATATTGAAATCACCAGACACGATGAATGGCAGCCCTGATAATTTGACTGCATTGCCTATCTGGGTTAGAACGTGCCAATTCTTACCTGACAATCCTTCACTGCAGTGTAGATACACGGCCACCCACAGGAAGCCAATGTCTGTGATTCCTGCAACATGCTTGATCGAAACTCTGCCAGGAATGAGAGAGCTGGGAATGTGCTCAATGTCAGCGAGGCCAACAAACTTGGGAACCATATGCGCCAGACCACCGCTGGAACCGCCACGTTGGGTGCCCACGGCAGCTGCTATGCTAGTGCGCCATCCACGCTTCGACAACTTGCTCTCCCATTCAACAACTTGATGCGGTAGAAGGTGATGTTCCTGCACCACCACGCCATTGCTGCTGAGGATTTTGGGATGCTGGAGCAGCGCCTCCAACCCCGCGATCCCCGTCACATTGCTGGTGACCAGAGTCCAGGCGGCCAAGCTAGGAAGAAGACCCGCCAGCAGGCTCAGCGGCGGTCGACTTGAACTTCTTGGTGGCGGCCTCTTGCATCTGGTCGAAGATGTCACGAATGCATTCATGCTTGACCCCATGCTTCTCTTGCAATCCTTGTATGTATCCGTCGTCAGTCTGCGCCTCTGCGAGCCAGACGAGGAGCTCGGCGTGTGCTGCCTCGGTTCGCTGCCTCCTCCTCCTCCTCCTCCTCCTCCTCCTCCTCCTCCTCCTGCTCATCATCATCATCATCATCATCATCATCATCATCATCATCATCATCATCATCATCATCATCATCATCATCATCATCATCCGCAGCAGCAGCAGCATCATCAGCATCATCATCACCATCATCATCAGCAGCAGCATCAGCATCATCATGTGCATCGCCATCATCATCATCATCATCATCAGCAGCAGCAGAATCATCATCAGCATCATGATCATCATCAGCATCGTCAGCATCAGCATCATCATCATCCTCATCATCGTCATCATCATCCTAATCATCAGTCTCATCATCATCATCATCATCATCATCACCATCACCATCACCATCACCATCATCATCACCATCATCATCATCCACCTCCTCCTCCTTCTGTCTCCTCCACCTGTCTCCTCCTCTTGTCTCATCCTCCTCCCGATCATCATCATCATCATCATAAGCATAATTAACATCACCATCATCATCATGGTCATCATCAGCAGCAGCATCATCATCACCCATCTCCTCCTCATCATCCTCCTGTCTCCTCCTCCTTCTCAAGCTCCTCCTCCTTCTCCTCCGCAAGCTCCTCGTTCTCCTCCGCAAGCTCCTCCTCCTCCTCGTCTCCTCCTCCTCCTCCTCAAGCTCCTCCTCAAGCTCCTCCTCCCCCTCCTCCTTCTCCTCCTCCTTCTCCTCCTCCTCAAGCTCCTCCTCCGCCTCCTCTTCCTGTCTCCTCCTCCTGTCTCTTCCTCCTGTCTCCTCCTCCTCCTGTCTCCTCCTCCTCCTGTCTCCTCCTCATTCTCCTCGTCCTCCTCCTCCTCCTCCTCGTCCTCCTCCTCCTTCCTTCCTTCCTTCCTTCATTCATTCTGCTAAACAACCCCTCCCTGTCGAACCCCGAGGCTAGTCGGAAGGGCGGGCCGGGCGTTTCGCCTGAGATTTTCCTACCATTTACGACACTGAAGCTTCAATGTTGGCAACAGTTTCAAACATGGAGGGCAGGTCGCTTCCAACATGTGGCTCTCGCCTTAGCGCCGCGCGCAGTCGTTTCAGATACCTGCAAAGGCTTAATGGATTGAGGACAAGTCGTTTTTCATTCAGCGTTCGTCTCAGGGCTTCACACGTTTCTTTTACGTCGTCGGCTAGGCAGAGGAACTGCGCTGGCGGAAGAACTAGCTCAACGGGGGCGTTGTTGTAGCGAGTTGTGCCAACATGCAAGAGGGAGCGGAAGAGGCAGGGCGGGCGGCCGATAGGGGGAGGGACCGGAGCGAGGGCCGCTCAGGGGGGACGGGTCACTCCGAAGCGGTTGGCGCGGCTGGCCCCGCCGGCGGGGACTGCGGCGGCTGCTGCGCCCGGGGTCCAGCGGCGGTGGGGCGCAGTGCGGGCACCAGAACGGGTCCAGCGAGTCAAGCTTACGATACAGTCAGGGGCCTGAGTCACCAGTCGGCGGCTGCGCGTTCCCCAGGTGGGAGCGCGGAGGGGCGGCGAAAGGAGAACCGCCGGGCAGGGGTGCGTGTGCAGCAGAATGCTGGGCCGGCGGGGGCAGGCGGGTGGCAAGACTGCAGGCAGCAGCTCGGCGCCATGGCGGCGCCAAAGCTTCACGGATGGAGGGCGGTTCGTTTTCAAAATGTGGCTGTCGCCCTAGCGCCGCGCACCTTCGCTTCAAAAATTATACAAGGGTTTCACGGATGGAAGGCGGCTCGTTTTCTAAATGTGGCTCTCGCCTTAGCACCGCACACATTCGTTTCAAAGATTCGAAACGGTTTCACGGATTATCATCGTTGACGTGTCCGAAAAGCTGCTTTGAAACGATGTAGGATTGATTCAGCATCGCCAAGACGCAACAGTAAGGTTTGGTCGTGGCGTTGAAGTCCCAAGAACGATACTCTAGCCAGATCCAGGATCTTGACAACGGTTGTCTCCAGACAGGGCACTCCCCTGTGGAAAATGAACCTTCTAGGGGCCCATGAAGATGGAGCTTAGAAGGACGTTATCTTACAACATCGTCATGGAGTCTTGGGTTTACACTGATCCTCCTCCTCCTCCTCCGCCTCCTCCTCCTCTGCCTGTCTTCTTCTCCTCCTCCTCCTCCTCCTCCTCCTCCTCCTCCTGATCATCATCATCATCATCATCATCATCATCATCATCATCATCATCATCATCATCATCAGCAGCAGCAGCAGCAGCAGCAGCAGCAGCATCAGCATTAGCATCATCATCAGCAGCAGCATCAGCATCGTCTTCATCATCAGCATCATCAGCAGCATCATTATCAGCATCGTCACCATCGTCAGCATCGTCACCATCAGCATCATTATCGTCAGCAGCATCAGCAGCATCATCAGCAGCAGCATCATCTTCATAGTCCTCCCTCACTCGTCCTTACAGATATCTCCTCCCCGTCGCGCCCACAGGCGTGTCAGTAGGGCGGCCTCACCATGTAAAATGCTGAAGCTTGACAATTGCCACAGCGTCAAGGACGAAAGGCGGGTCCTTCTCCGAGTGTGGCTCTCGCTTTGGCGCCGCGCGCACTGTTGCTACAAGTTCGCAGCAGCGTCAAAGGGTGGAGGGCGGGCCGTCTTCCAAAATGTGGCGCTCGCCGTCGCGCCGCGCACCTTCGCGCTAGAAGTTTGTAAAAGTTTTGAGGATGGAGGGCGGCGCCTTTTTCTGACTGTGGCTCTCGCCTTCGCGCCGCGCGCATTCGTCTTCAAGGTTCGCAGCCGTTCCAGGGATTCGTATGCTTGAAGTCCTAGGTAAAGTGGTCTGGCAAGGGTTCGGACCACCAGGACGCAACAGTCACTTTGCCTCGCGGCGTTGAAGTCCCAGGAATAGCGATCAGGTGCGGTTTAGGATCGCCAGGACGCAGCAATCACCTTGATTCGCAGCGTTGAAGTCCCAGGAACGGTTATCTTGCCCGATTCCGGATTATAGACGGTTGTCTTCCAATGGGCCACTCCTCGCTATGAAAACCAGTTCTTTCGGGACCTATGAAGAGGGATTGGAGGGAGGTATTATTGCAACATCATTGATGCGGCTCGGGTTTACACTCGTCCTTTTCTTCCTTCTCCTCCTCCTCCTCCTCCTCCTCCGCATCGTCGTCATCAGTCGTCGCTAAGACCGGTCGGCAGTCGACGCATGGACGCCTCTTTCTCATTCTCCTCCTCCTGCTCCTTCGCCTCCTCCGCCTCCTCCTCCTCTTTCGCCTCCTCTTCTTCTTCCTCCTCCTCTCCCCGTACGCAAGTCTCCTAAGCTCGCGCTTCGCGCTGCGCGAAGCGCTGTAATTCCTCCCCCTATTCCTCCACCCTGGAGAGCGATTGGGAGGCGAAGGGGTGGTATACCTTGCCCACCAGGCGGAGCGCATTCTCAAGCGAACTTACGATCATCGCACTCCAATGAGGGTGGCCTACCTCTCGGAAGACACCGACAAGTAATTATAAAGACCTTACTCTGAATAGCTCGCCTAGGGTGGCCGAGGGCGATCGGGATCGCAAAATACATGTTCATGTGTTCTCCTACCTCGTTCGAGGAGGAGGAGGAGGACGAGGAAGAGCGAACGATGCAGCTGAGGAGGAGAAGGAGGAGGAGGAGGAGCGTAGGCCAGAAGTGGTGACAATCGCAAGGTGCCTGCTTGTCAGCGTCCCAGTGCTCGCGCCAGTGGGCCAGCCCCTCTTGGCAGTCGAAGGCGTCCTCCAGGCTCGGGTTGCAGCCCTCGGCGGGGGAGGGGTCCGGTGCGCGAGGCCCTTGGCATGCAGGGCGGCGGTCCCTACGTCTCCGCCTCCTCCAGGGAACCCAGAACCGAATACTCATATGAGTCAGCGTCGGCGGGCCTCCACTGACATTTTCTCTGCCAGCGACGGACCCCCTCCCCGCGCCTCAGGGCGGCGCCTCTGGCACCGCTGGCCAGCGCGCTCCAGAGAAGGAGTGTGGGGAGGGGGTTCCAGCACGGACACAATAGATTGGTGCGGGCCTCCAAAAGTGTAAGTCTATGTAGCTGGCCACCCACACCCTGAGTGGGGCTCTTCATCTCTCAAATAATCCCCCACTCCTCATCCTGCTCCTTCTCCTCCTCCTCCTCCTCCTCCCCCTCCTCCCCCCCCTCCTCCTCGTCCTCCTTCTCCTCCCCTCCTCCTCCCCCACGGCGCTGCTGGCATAAAACCCCGTCGGAGGCTGCCAACCCCCTCCTCACCCCGCTCATGAACCTCGGGCCCCTGCCTCCTGGCAGGAGGACTCCGAAGGCCCTCGTCACCACGGCTGGATTACATCGATCTTCAGCCGCCCGTCACCGCGCCCCGCCTGCGCCCCGGGTGCCACGCAGCACCTCGGGGACCTGGCCTTCGCGGCGGCCGCGCAGCACTTCGGAGACCTGGCCTTCGCGGTGCCGTGGGCCGAGCCGTGCCGTCGGCCGCGCCGCGCGCCCAGTGCCGTGCCGCGTGCCGCGTGCCGTGCCGGCGTGCCGTGCCGTGCGCGCCGCCCGCGTTGGGGGCGGCATAGCGCTGGAAGTTCACAGGAGGCGCTGCGGGGATGCCTGACCGGGAGCCTGGGAGAGGAGCTTGCGTAGCCTTGTGGATGCCATGACAATGGACACTTTAACAATCCGATCATTGAATTGAATATGTGTTTAAAATGTGTAAAACATGATCTTCGAATGTCTCAAACATGTGTTTACCATATTCAAAACATTGTTGAAACATCTTTTAGACATCTGGAAATGATTGGCAGCATGCTTCCTCTCCATTAATCGACTTCCACAAGCGTGGCCCTGACTGCCGGCTTCATCTCTAAAAACCCTTCAAGCTCTCGCAAGGAACCATGCGGGAACCAGTACCCGCGACAACAGAGCCCGCGGCGGGTTAGCGGTGCCCTGGTGACCTGGTGGGCGTCTGGAGGCCCTGGAGGCCCGCTCACAGCAGGAATTCCCGCACTCCCGGCCCTGTGCGTCGTCCGCTCCGAGGACGAGCTGCTCCAGTGGCCCCGTCCGCCCGAACCGGTGAGCCATTCCGTCTGGCCCACGATGGGTGCAACGGTGCAAAGGCGATAGGCGCGAGAGCCAGGAAGGGACCGGGACCTCCCCCTCCATCCCTCCTCTCCTGAGAGTACACTGCAAAAGTCCCAAGCCCCCGTGAAGAATCAAGTGAAGCTATCAACACCATCAGTCCCAGTACCAGCCCGCCAGAAAACAAATTATGATTCCTCATTTGTCGGGGGCTGGGCCCTTCCGAGGAGCAACTTTTCCCTACATCCTGAGTGGACTCTTGGTGTATCATACCACGTTTTCTCATACCACCTCACGCTGACCTCCACCTTCTCCTCCTCCTCCTCATCATCATCATCATCATCATCACCACCACCACCACCACCACCATCATCATCATCATCATCATCCTCATTCTCATCCTCATCCTCATCCTCATCCACCACCTCCTCCTTTCTTCCTCCCCCCGCAAATTTCACAAATTGCCGCGGTTCGCGACTTCTTTTTGATCTACCGTGGCTCGTACTATCCCCGATCCGCCAGTCCCACCAGCACCACATCTCCTCCTCGCCAGAACGCGCGGGCGCGTTCTCGAAAAGTACCATTTCTCTGGGATTGTGCCTGTCCCACGCTTCCAATGCCACCACTAACCTGTGCGCCGCGGCGGATCGCGGGCCGCACACGCAAAGCGTACGACTCGTCAAGATCGTGAGCGGCGCCAGACCACAGAGGTCGCCGGTAAACCCTGCCATGTACAGTCAGCCCGTATCATAAGGATGCGCGATAAGCATGCAAGAGCCTTGGACGCCCATGTCGAAGCTTTTCGAGCGGGGCGCGGCCAACAAAAGTGGCCAAGGATGGGCCGAGGAGGCAAGGATGCAGTGGTACCCTTGGGAAGGTTGCTCATCCCTCTTATGCGTGTTGACTGTATCAAGGAACCACTTTTCCCCCTCCAGGGAGGCCACGCCATACTGCGCGGCCCGTCGGCAGATCCTGATGTCTATCAGGGATCGTGCCCTTCCCACTCCACCAGTCTCACCATCACCGTCATGGGAAGGCCGCGACAGACCGCGCGGGCCATCGGCAGACAAACCCTATCAGAAATCCACGAGTATGACGTCATCGTCATCGTCATCGTCCTTCCCACTTCACCAGCACCACTCGTGCCGTCTGGTCCTGCAGGGAGGCCGCGCCAGGCCACTCCCGGCACTAGAGCCCAGCGGGGATCCAGACGACCTCTCCAGACAGCCCCCCTTGGACAAGCCTTCCCAGGATTTCTTCCACAAGACACAAGACATAATAACTCACTCACTCACCCACCCACTCACCCAACCACTCACTCCTCCTCAGCCCACCTCTTCTTGCTCCTTCTCCCTACCGCCCTTCTCCCCCTTGCTTCCTCTCCTCGCCCCCAGGGGAGCTCAAGAGCGGTTGGGAGGCGCAGCTGCGCCTGCCTTCTCTGCTGGAGGGTTCCAGAGCTCCGCAGGCGCGCCCATGCGATGGCTCCAGCGCGCGCTGCTCCGAAGAGTCGCGCGCCGATGCACGAGGGAGCGCCTCGTGTCAGAACGACTTGGGAGGAGGAGGCGGAGGAGGAGGAGGAGGAAGAGGAGGAGGAGGAAGAGAAGGAGAAGGAGGAGAAGAGGGAGGAGGATGCGGGAGGAGGGAGGATTGAGATGGGTGGAGAAAGGAGGAGAAGGTGGAGAAGCGGAGGAGGAGGAGGAGGAGGAGGAGGTGCCTGGGAGTTACGGGCTGGCAGCGGGCCCGGCCCATCCCTGGCCTTGCTCTCGTGCTCACAGCACCAGCCCTTCTTCTCGTCGCTCCATGCCTGCAGGGGAACTGAACAACGCATATGAATATTGGACAGCGTGGAGGGCAAAATCGGCGTCGTCCTCCTCGGAGGTTGTCGGAGGCTGTCGGATGTGTTTAAACATGTCGGGCGATTGTTTGAGGTCTCTGGAGGTCCCTGGGGGGCCCCTGAGGCAGCAGAAGGCATACGAAGGTCTCTGAAGGTTCAAGCACGAAGAAGAACAACTCATCCTGCTCATCCTTCTCCTCCTGATCCTGCTCCTCATCCTCCTCCTCCTCCTCTTCCTCCTCCTCTTCCGCCTCCTCCTCCTCCTCCTCCTCCTCCTCCGCCTCCTCCGCCTCCTCCTCCTCCTCCTCCTCCGCCTCCTCCTCCTCCTCCTCCTCCTCCTCCTGCTCCTGCTCCTCCTGCGGGGGCCTGTTGTCTGCGGGGTGGCGCCGCGCAGTCGAAGGCCGGAGATGCCTCGGCGCCGCCGCCCTCTGCAGAGCTGTTGGCGCGCGTGGACGCCGCCACCGCGGAGGGCCGAGCCTTCGACGCGGACGGCGCCTGGCTGCGCGCTGGCTGCGCGCGCGGAGGGAGGCCCTCTCTGACCCGTCGTCGTTGTCGTCGTCGTGGGGATCACAGACTCGCGGAGGGAGGCCCGAGCTTGTCTTCGGGATCAGCGTTCGGGTCGTTCGAGTCCCTTTGGGTGATGCCCAGGAGGCCCGAGCACTGACCCGACTCAGTGTGGCCCTGAGGCGACAGCTCTGCGGCTGATTGGTCAGGCCAGTGCTCGGGGGGCTCCGCTGGCAGTCACGCAGCTCCCTTGGAGCCCAGCGCTGGCCTGATCTTTGAGGGTGCCCGATGCCCGACGGCCCTCTGCCGAAGCGCTCAAGAGCATCACGCGCTTCTCGAACGCTTCGGGGTCCTGCCTCTGAGCCCGCGAAGGCCTCCAAAATTCGCCGGAGGCCTCCCTGCGCGCCCGGAGGGGGCTCGCCCCCCCCCCCTCGGGAGGACGAGGCGCAGCAGATGCAATCGCAGAGGGAAGAGGGAGGAGAGAGAGAAGGCTTCCAAGAGGGGGGGGGCTTCCAATCTCTCTCTCTCTCTCTCTCTCTCTCTATCTCTCTGCATACACTCTCCGCTCCGCCAAGTTCCTCCGGGCGCACCCGCTTGCCCCAACACTGGGGCGGCTCCAGACCGCACCTGCTGTGCGGATGCCCTGCTGTTACCAGGGATCGTACCCTGCCCACCCCACCAGTCCCACCCGCGACGTCCACCAGACACGCTCGTCTGCCCGTCCAGGCAATCCGCGCCAGACCGCGGCAGCTATGCCGATGCCCCGTTCTTTAGCAGGGATGGTGCCCTGCCCACTCCACCAGCCCCACAGGCAGCCTTTGCCCCCGCAGGGAGGCCGCGCCAGAGCGCGCCAGCTACGCGGGCACTCTGTTATTGATCTCGTGCCCTTCCCACTCAACCAGCCCCACCACTATGATTAGGTCGGGCGTGTCTCCCTACAGGAGGATTTTCGACGAAGAATAAAAAATACACAACAAATACTCCAAAACGGTCAAAAAAAACATGACAAATAATCCCCATACTATATTTGGACTATTGTTGAATATTCCCCCTGCAGAGGGACAGGCCCGACTTAATACTATGACGTTTGCCCCTCCAGGGAGGCCGCGCCAGAACGCGCCCGCTATGCGGGCACCCTGTCTGTTCCGCCACCGTATCCACTGGCACGTTGAGGCGTGGCAGAATGCTACGTGTTGTCTGGCAGCATTTCTGTAAGATTTTGAGGGAGCCCCCCCCCCGCCCTCCGACACCACGCTCATGGGCACGAACCGCTCCCCCACTCCTTCGTGGGCACACCGACGTCGCACTGGCGGCCTGCAAGGCGCACACGATGCCCAAGACTACTTCCAAGATGGCCCTGGCGGGCCGCCTAGATGGTCCAAGACACCTCCAAGGCGGCCCAAGCAGGCCCCAAGACGGCATAAGATGGCCTCAAGACGGCCCATGAGGCCTCAGATACGGCCCAAGAGAGCTTCAACAGGACCTCCAGGAGGACCCACAAAGGTCAAAACCATGGATTGCCCTCACAGCCAAGCTGCTGCAATAAAGAACGCTAAATACGGAACGAAGCCCCTTTTGGGCACCGCGAGGGCCTGGGTACACGAGGAGGGCTAGTTGAACAACCACGGAATGACCTCAGGAACAGCGAGCCCCTTCCGAACCCAAAGCGGTCCTTGTGTCAGCGTCTCGACTGCCCGTCGGCCCAAGACGGCCTAAGAGGCCTTCAAGATGGCCCCAAGACCGCACGAGAGCGCCCCACGATGGCGCACCGAGGCCCCCAAGAAGGACCCCCAAAGCGCCAGGCTGCCCCAGAGCGCCCAAAGACTGCCCAAGGAGCCCCCAAGAAGCCTCCAAGAAGCCCCGAGAGGTCCCAAGACGCCCCCGATGGGCCTCTAATCGGCGGCGGGCGATGGGGAGGGAAATGAAAAGGAGAAAGCCATGTCAGAAGGCGGCGGGATTTCTCAGAAGCCCTTGCGCCCTCTGACAAGTTGTCCGCGTCCTCGGGGAAGGCTTAAAAAAACTTCTCAGAAGGCCGGGGGGCTTCCGAGCCTTCTGCGAAGGCCCGCCACTTCTCACTTACCCCCCGGGCCCGCCGCCGCTCTCAGGGGCCCCCGCCAAGAGAGGAGGCCGGACGAGGAGGAAGCGAAAGACGGCGACGGGCACGAAGAGAGAGACGCCCTGGCACGACCCGGACAAGCGTGTCACATCCCATGGTCTCCCGAGGCCTCGGGACACGAGGCGCCCCACGTTACGGCTTCCTGCGCGTTCCTCGGATGGTGGCCACCCAGAATGCCACGCCAGCCAGCCAAGCTGTGCGGGCACCGCGTTATTGATCGGGGTCCCGTGTCCTTCCCACTCCACCGTTCCCGCCAGCTCCGTTTGTCCATCCAGGGAGCCCGCGACCCGATCAACAAAGAATTAGACAGTAGACTCCAAACGCCTGTGTCGGGAACTCCGTCAGCATGATTATGAGGGGCAGGCATGTTTGGGGAAGTTGTTTGGGAGCGAGGCTTGCGGTGATCTGGTGGAGCGCGGGCGACTACCTCCTACTACGCCTTCCTCCTCCTCCTCCTCCTCATCCTCCTCATCCTCAGCCTCATCCTCAGCATCATCATCAGCAGCAGCAGTATCAGCATCAGCACCAGCATCATCATCATCATCATCATCATCATCATCATCATCATCATCATCAGCAGCAGCATCAGCATCAGCATCATCATCATCATCAGCAGCAGCAGCAGCATCAGCATCAGCATCAGCATCATCATCATCATCACAATCAGCAGCAGCAGCAGCCATCATCATCCTCATAATCAGCAGCAGCAGCATCCTCCTCATCATCAGCAGCATCATCATCATCAGAATCATCAGCATCATCAGCATCAGCAGCATCAGCATCATCATCAGCAGCAGCATCAATATCATCATCGTCATCATCAGCATCATCGTTATCATCGTCAGCAGCATCATCATGATCATCAGCATCATCAGACTCATCATCATCATCATCATCAGCATCATCGTCATCATCGGCATCATTATCTTCATAATCATCATCATCATCAGCGGCATCATCGTCAGCAGCGTCATCATCGTCATAATCATCAGTCTGTGTCCTCCCCACCTCGATTCTCCCTCAGATTCCTCTTGACTCCTCCTCCTCATCATCATCAACAAAATCAGCATCATCATCATCATCATCCATTATCATCAGCATTATCCTCCGCATCCTCCTCCGCGTCCTCCTCCTCCTCCTCCTCCTCCTCCGCATCCTCCTCTCCATATCTCCCTCCTCCTCCTCATCATCAGCATCAGCATCAGCAGCAGCAACAGCGTCATCATCATCATCATCATCATCATCATCATCATCATCATCATCATCAACAACAACAACCATCATTTAAGACTGCTCGCTCTTATCGGCCCGCGTGTCACTCAACAGGTATATCCCAACCCCTCGGTACCCGCCCACTTCGTGTTCGATCGTACCCCCTTGGGGGTATCTTTGGCACAGCCCCAAAACAACAGGGGAACAGGAAACGGATGGAAGGAAGGGGCAAGGGGGAGGGGAGAAGGATGGAGCGCGAGGGAGACTAGCAGGAGGGAGGCCAGGGGAAGAAAACAAGTTGCAGAACCAGACGGGCAAATCGGGTGGGGAGACCCGAAAGGGCGGGTCGGGAAGGCGGACCCAGGCGGCCGGGTCGAGCAGGCGGGTGGCTGAAGCGTGAGCCCTGCATGGATCGTGAGAAAGTTTCAAGCGATAGCGCGACTCCGAAGTAAACCGTGAGAAAGGCCAAAGCGAGAGCTTGATTCCGGAGTGTCGAGGGTGCGGCGCCTGAATCAGCTGCGAAGAAAAACCACGCGAGAGCGCGATTCCTGCATGCTTTCTGACGAAGTCCCGCGCGAAAGCGCGATTTCGGAATAGCTTATGAGGAAGTAGCAGGCGGGAGCCGTTGTCGTAGTTCGGGGGCCAACAGCGCACTTTGAGGCTCAAGATTTTCCGTTTTCAACAAACAAGGTACGAGCCCCAGGAGGTGCACTTTCATTGAAAAACGCAATGGGCCCCGAGCAGGGGGATATACAATAATTCTTCTTCTTCAACAACAACAACAACGACGACAACAACAACAACAACAACAACAACAACAACCACAACCACAACGACAACGACAACGACAACGACAACGGCAACGACAACGACAACGACAACGACAACGACAACGACAACGACGACGACGACGACGACGACGACGACGACGACGACGACAACAACAACAACAACAACAACAACAACAACAACAACAACAACAACAACAACAACAACAACAGCAGGAGCAGCAGCAGCAACATCATCAGCAACAGCAACAACCACCACCACCATCCCCACCACAACAACAACAGCAACAACAACGACAACACCAACAATAACAACAACAGCAGCAGCAACAACCACAACAACGGTTACACTAAAATTGACACTACCGTTATCGTAAACGTCAGTCGCATCGCCATCCTCACCCGCACTATTATCAGCATCGTCGTCATCAACACGATCCCATCACCACCGTCGTCATCACCATATCAATGACAACCACCATCATCTAAAGAAGCGTCGACAACATCGTTGTGCCATCGTCATCGTCACTACTATCGTCACTCTGATCAGCAGCAGCACTATGAGCTAACATTCATCGTCATCACCATCGTCATTACCCTCATCACATTCACCATATCCACAATCATGGTCACCATAGTCATCATCCGCAACCTGATACTCATCGTAATCGACATCACCATCCTCATCGCCATAACCAGTAGCATCGTCGCCATCATCACCATCATCATCAGAAACAGCAACAACAACAGCATTAGCGACGTCATCGTTATCATCATCATGTTCATGAGCATCATCACCATCATCATCATCAGCAGCCTTATCATTATCATCATAATCATCATCAGCAGCAGCATCAGCATCACCACTATCATCTGCATCATCAGCATCATCTGCAGCATCGTCGAAGTCATCATCGCCATCACCATCAACAACACCATTATCAGTAGCATCATCATGATCAGCAACACTATCATCATATCCTCTTCCTCCGTCTCGTAGTCAACCCTCCTCCTTCCGGACGTAAGGCAAACATCAGCGGTGGGGCTGGTGCGTTCCTCCCTCCTCCTCCTCCTCCTCGGCCTCCTCCTCCTCCTCCTCCGCCTCCTCCTCCTCCTCCGTCTCCTGGTCCTCCTCCTCCCCCTCCCCACTCGCACGCGGGCTCCTTCCCTGCCCTCGGTCCCTTGCTTCGCTCGCTTCCCCCTGGCGTCCGTCCCCCCTGCCCCTCCCCGGCCCGGGTGCACCCGAGTGGGCCCCGCATTCCCGTCACACAGGGGCACCCCCCAACAATGGGGTCATGGTCATGGGTCCCACCTCAGGCACCGTCTGAACAAGACCTCTTTGAGGCCTGGCCTGGTGGCACTCCTGGCGCATCCCGCGGAGCATGTTCGAAGAGCCTGTACCTCTCGTCCCCCCCAGCCTCCCTCCGCTCCCCCCTCCTCCTCCTGGCCCCCTCCTCCCTGCTACACCCGAGCTCTCCTCCCCGCCGCCCTGCCCCCTGCCCTGTCCACCCGGACGCTGATCCAGCGCGCCCCCGCGGATGCCTGCGACGTGCCCGCAGACGCGTTGGCACCTCGGCGGTCATCGCCCCCAGCGGGGCTGTCGTGCGCGGCAGCGGCGGAGGAGTCGCCGCTTGCGGCGGCGGCGGCGGCAGCGCTGCCGGTGGAGTCGCCGTGGGCGGCGACGCAGCCTCCCAGAGCGCGGGCGAGAAAGAGCAGCAGGAGAAGGAAGAGGTGGAGGGAGAGGAGGAGGAGGAACAGGTCCCAAATCAAAAATGGCCTCGAGGAAGGCAGGGTCCAGACTCGGCCCCCCACTGCCCCGCGCCTCCCTCGCACTTTTCCTGGTCCCCCTTCCCCCTTGTTCCCCCACCACCACCGCATCACCCTCCTTCTCCTCATTCCTCCTCCCCCCCATCGGCAACAAGTGAAATGAGCAGAGGTTACGCATGCATGTTCATGGCCCTGGGAGACAACATCAAAGATGATGCTGTACGCACGCTGCGCGCGCTGAGGATAACACCATCATCCTCATCGTCATGCTCCTTCTGTCCTCCTCCACCGCCTCCTCGTCCTCCTGCCATTCCCTGAATAATTCCTCCTTGCTTCCCTCCCTCCTCCTCCATTCTATCTCCTTATAGATAACTCCTCCCTGTCGCACCCCGAGGCAAGTTGTTAGGGCGGGCCGGGCGTTTCGCCAGAGACTTCCTCACCACTTATGACTCCTAAGTTTTAAAAGTGACGACAGCTTCACAGATAAAGAGCGAGTCGCTTTCAAATGTAGCTCTCGCCTTAACGCCGCGCACATTCGTCTTCAAAATTTGCCAGAGCTTCAAAGATTGAAGGCGGGTCGCTTTCAAAATGTGGCTCTCGCCTTGGCGCCGCGCACATTCGCATAAACAAATTGCAAGAGCTTCACGGATTAAGGGCGGGTCGTTTTCAAAATGTGGTTCTCGCCTTAGCGCCGCGCACATTCGTCTTCCAAATTTGCAAGGGCTTCACGGATTGAGGGCGGGTGGTTTTCAAAATGTGGCTCTCGCCTTCGCGACGCGCACACTCGTCTTTGAAATTTGCAAAGGCTTCACGGATTAAGGGCGGGTCGTTCAAAATGTGGCTCTCGCCTTAGCACCGCACACATTCGTTTCAACAAATTGCAAGAGCTTCACGGATTGAGGGCGGGTCGTTGTCAAAATGTGGCTCTCGCCTTAACGCCGCGAACACTCGTTCAAAAATGGTGCAAGAGTTTCACGGATTGAGGGCGGGTCGTTTTCAAAATGTGGCTCTCGCCTTAGCGCCGCGCACATTAGTTTTTACAATTTGCAAGAGCTGCACGGATTCCCATGATCAACGCATCAGACATCATGTTCTGGAAAGATTCAGGACTATGCGGGCGCAACAGTTATGTTGATTCGCTGTGTTGAAGTCCCAAAAACGGCGTTCTGGCACGATTCTGGATCGTCAATACTCAGCAGTCAGGTTGATACGTGGCGTTGAAATTCCGAGAACAATGTCTTGGCACGCTTAAGGATCTTCAAATTGTTGTCTTCCAACGACGCAGCTCCCTCAATGGAAATGAAACGTTGTAGGGGCCTATGAAGAAGGAGTTTGGAGGGAGGATTAATTCGAACATCGTTGATGACTCTTGGCTTTCCACTTGTCCTCCTCCTCCTCCTCTTCCTCCTCCTCCTCCTCCTCCTCCGCTTCCTCCTCCTCCTCCTCTTCCTCCTCCTCCTTCTCCTTCTCCTGCTCCCGCTCCTGCTCCTCCTCCTCCGCCTCTTCCTCCTCCTCCTCCTCCTCCTCCTCCTCCTCCGCCTCCTCCTCATTATCCTCCTCCTCCTCATCCTCCTCATTCTCCTCCTCATCATCAGTATCATCACAACCACCACCAACACCACCACCACCATCTTCATCATCATCATCATCATCATCATCAGCATCATCATCATCATCATCATCATCATCATCATCATCATCATCATCATCATCATCATCATCATCATCATCATCATCATCATCATCATCATCATCATCATCATCATCATCATCATCATCATCATCATCATCATCATCATCATCATCATCATCATCATCATCATCATCATCATCATCATCATCATCATCATCATCATCATCATCATCATCATCATCATCATCATAGCAGCAGCAGCAGCAGCATCATCATCATCATCATCATCATCTTCATCATCATCAACATCATCAGCAGCAGCATCAGCATCATCATCATCAGCATCATCGTCGTCAGCAGCATCATCATCAGCATCAACATCATCAGCAGCAGCATCAGCATCATCATCATCAGCAGCATCATCATCATCAGCGGCAGCATCATCATCATCATCATCATCATCATCATCATCATCATTATCATCTTCATCGGAATCACCATAGCCATCGTCATCGTCATCGCCATCGTCATCATCATCACCATCATCATCATCATCACCATCATCATCGTCACCATCACGATCATCATCATAATCATCAGCGTCATCGTCATCATCAGCAGCATCGTCATCAGCATCATCATCGTCATCGTCATCGTCATCATCATCATCAGCATCATCATCATCATTATCATCGTCAGCAGCATCATCAGTATCATCATCATCATCAGCAGCAGCAGCAGCATCATCATCGGAATCAGCATCATAGTAATAGTCATCATCATCAGCATCATCATCGTCATCGTCGTCGTCAACATCATCATCACCAACAGCATCATCATCATCATAATCAGTTTCCTCATCTTCTTCATCATCGTCATCATCATCATCCCAAATCATCGTCGTCCCCATCGTCGTCCCCATCGTCATCGTCGTCATCATCATAACCATCCTTATCATCATCATCATCCCAAATCATCCTCCCTCCCGCCACCTCCCTCCCGAAAGTGGGGAGGTAGACGGGATGAGGAGGAGGAGGAGGAGGAGGAAGAGGAGGAGCAGGAGGAGAAGAAGAAGCGGAATAGCTTGAGGAGGAGGGCGGGACGATCGGAAATGGAAAATGCCCTGCGCGGGGTCTGAATGATTCGGGTACGCCTAACTCGAAGAATCTGCCACCCACAGCGCGGGTAGTCCGGGAAAGCGGAGCACCATGAGCATGGGCAGGGAGGTCGAACTCCACTACGACAGACAAAGAGTGCTGCAGGCATGCGCCGGCCTCAGCCCTCGTCGAGCTCGGGCGGCCCAGTCCCCGGAGGCACATCCCGCAAGCCTAGGCACCCGATCACACTCCATGCAGCCGTGGCTCTCGGCCCCCATGAGCCTAGCACTGGACCTCTGGTGGTGAACCAGCGCGGCGCGCGGCTCGACGAGGGATGGGCCCACGTGGCAGCTGTCGGGTGCCAGCCCGCCTGCGCGCCTCCTCCTGCCAGGCACCGCCACCCCCTCTTCGAAGAGTCGCCCCGCGACGATGGGCGGGCACGCAGTGCCATCGACGGCAGACGCGACACACAAGCCCATCGACGGCAAGCACGGCACATGGGCAGGCACGCAGTCCCGTCGATGATGGGCAGGCACACCGTCCCGTCGACACCGATACCTCCCGCCGCCTGGCATGCCTCGTCGATGGACAGGCACACGAGGCAAGCGCGTCTGAACTCGCAGACTGCGACTCTCGGCGACGTGCCACGGTGCCGCGGGCCGTCAGACGGCGTGGCCAGGCAACACGGGTTCGTGCTGGTCTGGTCGCTCGTGTAAGTTCGTCCAGAGGGGCTGCGTCGACCTTGTCAAGCAGTGCACTGGGCATCATCGTCTGCACCTCGACGTCCTGGCAAAGATTCCTGGATAGCTCCTTGGAGAGCTAAGAGGGTTATTGAATCAGAAGCCGGCAGGCAGGGCTACGCCAGCTCCTCTTCAAGGCTCCCGGGCAGGCATCCCCGCAGCGGCTTGCTTGAGTTCGCAGCGTGTCCCGAGAGCGGTTTCCTACTCGTTACCAATTCGCGTGCCGGAAGCATTTCCGCAGCTCTTTCGAAGCTCCTCGGGAGCTCTTGCGAGGCTCCTTTCTCCCGAGCTTGCACGCTTCCCAGGCATGCTTTCCAGCGTCCTTGCCAGCGTCTCCAACAGACGTTTCACGCACTTTGGACTGCGCTGGCATCCGGGTTTGGGACGCTACAAGTACTCGGCCTCAGAGCGCATGTCCTCCAAGCCACGGGATTACGACGGGCGGGCCGCTGACGACTCGCACGCCCACGAGAGCGACCTTGCCCATCAGCTCGGCCCTCTGGCAATCCTCAAGCTGCAGGACATTCAACAACTGATCCTCGACTTCGTTCGACAACTGGCTGTTGCCAGCGAGCGTGGGTTCCTTCGTCTGCGCCTGTAGCACGTCAAGGGAACAGCGCGCGCGATAGGCCAGGCAGCCCAGAGCTCACCTCCTTCAGGCCCGCGGTGACGCGCGTCGATATTCGACGGCAGATGTCGTTCAACTCATCCCCTCATCCCCTGGCACGAAAAGCGGCGCAAGCTTGCGGAAACCGCCGTGCGCGGTGATGCCGGGGTCTTCAAGCAGGGCGGAAGTGGGGGACGCCAGCCTATGACTCTGCTCGGCCACGGGCCGCGGAGCGACGCCCAAAGGTGCTGGTGGACCACCTGGGCTGCGACTCCGAAGAGCAGCAGCGTCGAGGTCACGGCGGAGCACTGTGCAGAACCCCACGGGGATTAAACTCGGCATTGGGCCATCGAGATTGCTAGCATACATGCGCATGCTTTTCCATCGGCAAAGCATGTGTTTGTTTAACCCTGAGGCCACCATATGCATTCGATGGACCACTCGATGCTTCGAAATTCTTGCGTGTACCTGAAAGATGTCTGTCGCTTTCTGGCAAGGCCGAGCGGGCGCATCTGCGATATGTAAATAGGACGACATATACCGCGGATGCAAGAAACATACTTCTGCAGCTGAGATAGGCAACTAACTTTCGATCAGGCAACTCCTGTCGGACTTCCGCGAGCAAACGCGAACAAGGACTCCCGTGACAGTGAAGCAAGCGGTCTCGAGGCATGGATGGTCAGTGTGCGTCACCCAACTCGAGTCACCTCCCAATCGCCGAGTTGATTATTCCGTGGTCTTATAAGCGAGGTCGAGCTCGACGATGTTCAAAATGACCTTCCGCGCATCGGTGACCATGTGTTCCCGATCGTTCGGGGAAACGATCTCTGAAAGAGGTGACGTGGCGCCCCTGGTGGGCGGCAACTGTCTGGAACTTCGCCGGCAGCGCGAGCTCAGCCGAGGGCGCCATCCGCTTCCCATGGCCACCGCTCACGCCATGGGGCGTCGGCTGCGTCTGGCCAGGCAAGGCGGCCAGCAGGGGGAAGCTCCCGAAAGGGCAGGAGAGCATTGAGCCCAAATGTCTAGGGAGTGGGACAATAGCACGAGGAGAATGAAGGAAGAGGATGAACGATGGAGGGGCATGGAGGAGGAGCAGGAGGAGGAGGAGGAGGAGGAGGAGGAGGAGGAGGAGGAAGCGGGGGAAGAGGGAGGGAAGGACGGAGGGAGGGAGGGAGGCAGGGAGGGACGGGGGGAAGGGGGGGGGACCAGGAGGAGGAGGAGAAGGAGGAGGAGGAGGAGGAGGAGGCTGCGGAGGAGGATGAGGAGGAGGAGGAGGACGAGGAGGAGGAGGAGGGAATGAAGGAGAAGGAGGGAGGGAGGACAAAGAGGAGGAGGAGGAGGAGGAGGAGGAGGAGGAGGAGGAGGAAACCCCACGCCCCACGCGCCTAGGCGGTAGTTCTGGCAGCACCAGGCCTTCTTCTCGGCCGCCCAGGCTACTCTCCAGGAAGAGATGCCCTCCTCGCAGTCGTACTTCGCCTCCGTCGGGAAGGAGGTGTGGAGGTGAGGAAGTGAGGAGGAGGAGGAGCAGCAGCAGGTGTTGTGCCCCGCCTGCGTCTGCCGCTCCTTGCCCACATCGTGTCACGAAGAGAAACAAAACAAGGCGTTGGGCATGGCACTTTGTGCCAGCCCGCGCGGCTGCAACTTAGCATACCGCGCGCACTGCACACAGCACATCACAAAGTCGCCTTGATCTGGCGGAGTACCCTGACATCAGCCTGAGGGCCAACCACCGCACGCCACCGCGTGCTCAAGACCGAAGAACCTGGTCGAGGAAATGCTGTGCCCTCAGGGCTAAAAAATGGAACGAACCGCCGCTGGCCAAGGCTACGGAGCGCGCCGGTCCCGCGCACCTCATGGCGAGAAGCTCGTAGCCGCTGGGGGCGATGTCTCTGGCGCGGGCTGCAACGTCGCGACCCTGCACAGACCATAGCATTGCGGCGCGGTCTACCCGCGGGCCCCCACCACGCCCAGGAGCAGGCTGGTGCTGTCCCGCTGCCTCCGCCGTCGGCGGTGCCACGCGGGCGAGCGTGAGCGGCTATGGCGGCGCGCCTGCGTCTGGTGAGGGATGCACCGCCGCCCTGGGCTGGCCAACCGGCGACTAGGGTCTCGCGGAATCGGGCCGCCCCGAAAGCCAGAGCGCGAAACGACTGGCGGATGAGAAAGGAGGAAGAGGAGGAAGAGGAGGAAGAGGAGGAGGAAGAGGAGAAAGAGGAGGAGGGAGGAGGGAGAAGGGAGGAGGGAGAAGGAGGAGGAGGAGGAGAAGGAGGAGGAGGAGGAAGAAGAAGCGAGGAACAGAGAGTGGAGCAGGAAGACAAGAGGAGGAAGGAGGGGGAGGGAAAGGGGGAAAGGGCAAGCTAGGTGCGCTCGCGTCATATCTGACGTCCTACCCTTCCCTCCCATCCCTGGTCATGGCGTGGATCTCCTCTCTATTCGCACAGTCAGATGTCGAGCAGGGCAATGATCCCCAGGGCGCGCTATGCATCGTAGAGCACGGCATTGCAGGGCGTAGAAGAGCACGGCAGAGCGTAGTATGTCAGGGCATGGCGTGGCGTTGCGTAGCGAATAATTGCATCACAAAGCATTGCAACACAAATAATGTCATCCACAGCGGCACAGAACAGAACGTGGCGTAGCATGGCGTCGAAGATCAAAGCGTAGCATGGCATAGCATGGCGTGGCATTGCGTAGTCAAGAACTGCATATCCTAGAATTGCAGTTGAAGGCATGGCATCGCACAGCGGAACACTACACAGCATTGCATTGCATGCCGTGGCATGGCACTGGAAATAATGACGCCAGCGCGGCAGCGGGAGCACGATTCGGAACAATCGGAAGTGCGGAAATGAGGCCAGCGCTGCAGCGGGAGCACGATCGCAGAAATGAGGCCAGCGCTGCAGCGGGAGCACGATTCGGAACGAGCGAAAGCCCGAAAATGAGGCCAGCGCTTCAGCGGGAGCAACATAATGAAAAAACACAGCGAAAATTACTCCAGTGCGACCCTACCTAGAAGTTGGAGCCCCTAAGAAAGCAGCACTAGTTGCTACGCTATGCTATGTTATGCTATGCCATGCTATGCTGCGCCATGCTATGCTATGCTATGCTATGCTATGATTTGCTATGATATGCTATGCTATGCTATGCTATGTTATGCTATGCTATGCTATGCTATGCTATGCTGCGCTATGCTATGCTGTGCTATGCTATGATATGCTATGCTGCGCTATGCTATGCTACGCTATGATATGCTATGATGTGCTCTGCTATGCTACTAAAGCTCGGCGAAACTAAGATAAAGGGAAGCTAAGTTAAGATAAACCTGAGCTAAGATGAAACTAAGCTAAGCTAAGATAGAATAAACT